AGACAAAATGTTAAACTTTAATTCTTCCACAAATCTGTGAACTATATTTTTTGTAATGTCATTTCTATCGAGTTAAATTTCAAACCATTTCAACCCTTTTCTAAATGCAGATTTTCAATGTGTCATGGTAATGCCGTAGATGAAGTAAGGGATGTTGAATAACTTGTGATGAAATGTGAGGCTATGTAGCAGCATGACATCCAGTAGTATTTACAAGGAAGTACTTGCGAGGAAAGATGTGTTGATTAAAGATATTGACAATGGATGCTAAATCAGTATTCATTTTGTTCATTGCATGGAATTGTTAGCTCTCTTGCAGTGAATGAGTCTACCTTCAGTCAAAATTACTTTTCTCAATACTCTAGCCTTGCTCCAAGGCTGTACTGAAAGACAAGTCCATGGATGTGTAGTAATTCTATCCATATAATAGGCAAGTCTAGATAAGTGGATGCCAGTCTCTTGTAGGGACGACTTGTTCTTATTATTTATATAATCTAGAAATTATGATTTAAACTAATAATTATTGCCTTCGAGACTTGTGCAAGTCTACCAGTACTCAAGCTTTCCAACATAGGAATCTGGTCAGTTCCTCTTTCAGGTTCATAGATGCAGGGTGGTGGTCTACTGGTTGAGGTGTTCACTCCTCATGCAAAGGGTCCAGGTTTGATTCCCTGATGGTCATAAGGTGTATGGTTGGGTTCTGGTGTGCCCATTATACAGAGGGCTGGAATATTGCTAAATGTGGGGCGTAGATCCCGACATTCCAAGTTTGATAAACCCTATCTTACTTCAAAGGTCGAGACACTAACTCAGTAGCATCATGAAACTGCACAATGTACCTATAAAAGTGAAGTAAGTTTTGAAGATCTGCCCCTGATTGTTTTTGACTCTGTCCTTCTCCTTCACCACACTGGCTACTTGTGGAGAGTGGAGTCGGAAGCAATCACTTGAGACAGTCGTCATGAATATGAATAGCTTCAGTACTACACTGTGTCCATTCTCAAACCTATCATGCCTATAGCTGGCTGGAAATTCAGAGTGAAAGACACTTATTTAAAGAGGAACATTCTGTTGCTATAGAAACATCATCATCAGTTGGTGTGTGTGGGATTTAGGACGACTTTGACATGGCATGCATTGTAGCAGCTCGTGAAGTCAGCTATGCAGGAAGTCGGTTCAGATTGATCCAGTTGATTTCTGGGGCTGATGTGGTATTACTGGGGATCTATTAGATAGGACAAATGGCTTTTTGCACTGAAAACAAAGCTTTGATCCCAGCAGTAGAAACATGGTGTGTTGGTGTGGGAGTGCTTGCAGTGAGCTGGGTTGTCACAAGCATGGCTTGTTCATGGGGTACATTTGTGGGTTTTTTTAGTGGACAACCCAATAAATAGTGATGGCTGAAATAACAGTTTCACAGTGTTTCTTGTCAGGTTTGCACCCGTTGCTATGGTAAATCTGAATGGTAAAAACTCTGTAACAATTTTTTGCATATCCCAGCTAGTATTTGCTCCTATTTATGTTATATATTTAGTTATGTAATATTTTGTTGGTCTCAGATAAATTAATGTAGCTGCCAGTCTGAATTAGAAATGGAGGTTCATATGTTACACGTTTGAGGATGAAATTACCCTTATTTTCTACTAATGATGTGAACAGTTTCTTTGCTCTTCTCTTTAACTAAATGACAGGTTTATCTTTATCCAGTAATTCTACTTTCTTTACACAAATACAATCAAGGAAAATTGAAATCACAAGAATATTTTTGAGATTTGACTTGAGCAGTTCTCTACGTCTGGACGAATGCCTCGAGAGATAGAGCATCAGTCCAGAGACTGGAAGGTCCCCTGGCTGTGTCATACCAACAGACGTTAAAAGATGGTACTTGTTACCCTGTCTGAGGCTCGGCATTATCCCCCATAAACTGGGGGATAGTTTCTCAGTGGGCTAGCACTATAAAACCCCCTTAAGCCTGGACTAGTACAAGCAGCCACGTACATATGAGAAATAATCTTAAATGTTACTTTAGACTCCATTGCACCTCACATATCAAGTCTTGAGAGTAGAGCCCAGGGTTTTATGAGTGGCTAATGACCACCTTGTCCGCTGTGCCAGCCAGGAAAGAGATGACTGTTCACTGTACACAAGAGTAGTTATGACTGATGTCCCACGAAGATCCGGGTTACAAGAGGTCTTGCTTGCTGTTAGATGCGACTTACATGATCCAGACTCGAACATTTACAGACTGCCGTCATATAGCTGGAATATTGCTGAGTACAGGGTTAGACAACAAACAAACAAACTTGTGATTGATAGAAATGGTTGTCCTGTAGTCATGATGTCCTTGTCACTCCAGTGACATGATTATGATGGCTCAGTATGACGATAACCACAATCTGGAGTACAAGCTGTCTATGATCTTGATATGTAGCAGTTTAGAAGTCATTCAGAAACATAAATTCAAGGTAACATTTTTTCAATAAGTGTGTCCTGTTTCATCAAACGTGTTAACATAACAAACGTGTTTTGTGTGTGATATTACTTTTTATAGCCACTGTTACCATGGTTACAGCATATACTTGAGGAGATCAGAAGTTCAAACGATCGCGCGTCAAGTCATGGTTGATGAAAAATATTGTCCGTTAATTTCACTGTCTGTATTCTTAGCCGAGTGTGATTACATAGATTAGTGGCTATTATTTGTCGTTGCTGGTGTAACCTTTAGGGGAGGCATGGTTATTAGTCTGACAGGATAAGAAGAGTAATTAGACTTCAAACGAATGTCAGGAAGCTTGTGGAGAATCCTATTGGTATTACTTCTCATATGTTAACAAGTTCCGACTGTTTTTAGTCAGTGTAGACAAAAGTTTCTTATTTTCTACAGTATATAATTTCATCTCATAACCTGAATATGAAACTGATCTTGCATCTTATTGTTCTTGACTTCAATGATGGAATAGTTTGGTGCATGGTATTGTAACCATGGTAACCATGGTAACCATGGTAACCATGGTTATTACTGTAGGTGGGTATTATACCCCGCCATGAAGTGGGGTGGGGGGTATAAGAACAGAGTTCGCCTGTCCATTGTTCCATCTTTGTCCGTATGTCCATCCGTCTGCCTCTCAACATGCTCAACATGCTCAAGGGGGACAATTTTTTTGTTGAAAACTATTTAAGATTGAGAAAGGAAATTTTTCACACTGATATTACTGGTCATGATCTTAGATGAGTTTGAATTATTTTTTTAGTTCAATTATCTTTTTACAGAGTTATGGCCCTTGCTCTGTGCTTTCTAGAGTGCAATGGGGACCATTTTTCTCAGAAAATACTGAAATTACATGAGTCAAAGTTTGTATGCTTGTCTTAGAGATACTTGTCAAGACTGAGTTCGAAAATTGGTGCCGTAAATTATTTGTTTACAGAGTCATGGCCCTGGCTCCATGCTTTTCAATTTCATATTAAATCATGCTAATAATATTTTCTGATGACATAACTGTCTTTTTTTATGGCTTTATAGGCTTCTATATATAGTTTATATTCACAACTATATGAACAAACAAAATTCTAATGTGCCCCATGGCAGAGGGATAGTGAAAACGCTGTTTTCTTGTTTCTCTTTGCTATGACACAGATTGACTGTTCATATATATATGGTAATATATATATGTTGCTGTCCATATTTTCATCATGCAATGTTTACTATCTGGCTGTTATATTGACAGATTTGAGCAAATATGTAAACTTTGAAAAATGTTTATTAACTTTTCCCGTCCATCTAAACAACCAGACAGCACCTGAAGGTAGTTGTGTGAAAAGTAGGATATTCTCAGTCATCATTCCATGTGTAATCTTTTAAAGACAGAAATAATTGTGGTGTATTTACTTCTTGTCAGTCGTAGTGTTTATCTGATTAAGGTCAACAATTAGACCTCATTGGCACCTGTGTTATATTTAGAGACCAGGTTTAAATATTTTCCCACCTTGGGAGGGTGTACTGTGTAGCTAAGCTAGCAGCCCTTGGCTACCTCACACCTGGCTTCTAAACAGAGGCTGCCCCAATATCATTTGTTTTGACTTTTTACGTGGCTAGTGGTTGCAAATTTCAAATTTGAATGGAAAACAATGATGCTACAGAAAGCAGCTTGTGTCAGAGTGTTTCACAGGATGGATCTGTGTTTTGTCAGATGTTGTGAGAAACTATTACACACTTTGTCAGGGCAGTTTCGGTTGTCAGTACAGTGTCGGTTGATGCGGAAGTGTCTGTTGTCGGGCAGTGTCGGTTGTCATGGCAGTGTCGGTTGTCATGGCAGTGTCGGTTGTCGGAGCAGTGTCGGTCGTCAGGGCAGTGTTGGTCGTCAGGGCAGTGTTGGTTGTCAGGGCAGTGTCGGTCGTCAGGGCAGTGTCGGTCGTCAGGGCAGTGTCGGTTGTCTGGGCAATGATGGTCAACAGTTGGTATGTCATAACTTGAGACAATGTGTATTGGTCGGTCAGAATGGCTGGTGGGCCGAGTAACTCTACGTCGTCCATGATAAAGGATTTCTACATATTTAATGTGAGTAATATGTTTTTTTTATGCAACATATTTTTCTACATCAGTTCTAGTTCCAGCAGATCACCCAAGGGTCTGTAACCATAATAGTTCATTGGTTATAAATATTTTGTAGACTAAAAATTAAATTCATGAATGACTTTCTAAATTTTGCTGATGACTTTCACAGACACAGTAAGTTGTGATGGCCCCCAGTAATTGTTATTTTTCACGACACATGTTGTAAATTTTGCATCATTTCAATGCAAACAATAACAATAAGCCCGCAGAATGAAGTATTCATCGAATGAATTGCTTAGATTGAAAGCATGCTGTCACATGGGCGTCATGTGATGGCACACAACAACGCTATTTTAGTCCAATAATTATGACTGCAGACACTACATGGAGTGCAACTGACTTGCATCGTGACACTGACTTCTGAAATAGGTTTCACTCGGCATGTTTCTCATTGTCTTGAGTCATACATCAGGGCGATGAGGACGGGGATGTCTGTCTGTTGTCTGTGTGTACGACATCGACATGTCATTATGTGCTGTGAAGTCTTGGCGGAATTCACATGTCGACTGTGGCGGACATCAAGCCAAACCATCGCAGGAATGTTGTGTTTTTGTCACAGAAGTTGTATAATTAACGCTTTCTGGGTCTTGAGGTGGGAGAACAGCGGGATAATCTCCCCAGTCTGCACGATGAATGCTTCAGGTGCTTATCTAGGGTATTTTTAGCGCCAGGAATTTTTTGTATAACTTGCTAAATATTTGATTAATCAAAGCATAATACATTAAGTGAAAATGTATAACGACAAGGCCAACACGTGACCTTGACCCAGATGAATCAAGAATGAAGAATTTTTATTGTACAGAAGGGCAGGGTAGAAACTATCTACATATGGGGGTAAATATAACTATAAACATGAGAGGTAGGAATGCATGATGTACATTATATATGAGATATTCCATATTTTCATTCATGGTGTATAAACATTTATAGATATCATGAGGTAGCTGGCAGCATACACTTTAATAATGTATAGTAATGTTGTAGTTAAGATTTAAGGTCATATCTAGTCTGTCGTACAGACCCTGATACAAATATATATCAAATACAGTCCATGCAAGTCTATAATGTTTGGCAAGTCTAGATTACTGCAGTATGAAAATGAAGAGAGTCACTGGGCTCCCTTTTATGATATTTTTATTAAGATAACTGAACAACTGTTTTTATCCCCCGCCGCGCGAAAGCGCGAAGCGGGGGATATAGTATTCACGACCGTCCGTACGTCCGTCCGTACGTCCGTCCGTACGTCCCACCTGTTTGTTGCCGCGATATCTCAAGAACTAAACACTGGATTGTCTTCATATTTGGAACTATGGTGTATATACAGACTCCGCAGACACCAGTCGGTTTTGGTGACCTTGATCCCATTTTCAAGGTCACAGCAGACAAATCTGCTTTTAGAGTTGGAAAACGGTGTTGCCGCGATATCTCAAGAACTAAACACTGGATTGTCTTCATATTTGGAACTATGGTGTATATACAGACTCCGCAGACACCAGTCGGTTTTGGTGACCTTGATCCCATTTTCAAGGTCACAGCAGACAAATCTGCTTTTAGAGTTGGAAAACGGTGTTGCCGCGATATCTCAAGAACTAAACACTGGATTGTCTTCATATTTGGAACTATGGTGTATATACAGACTCCGCAGACACCAGTCGGTTTTGGTGACCTTGATCCCATTTTAAAGGTCACAGCAGGCAAATCTGCTTTTGGAGTTGGAAAACGGTGTTGCCGCGATATCTCAAGAACTAAACACTGGATTGTCTTCATATTTGGAACTATGGTGTATATACAGACACCGCAGACACCAGTCGGTTTTGGTGACCTTGACCCCATTTTCAAGGTCACAGCAGGCAAATCTGCTTTTGGAGTTAGAAAACGGTGTTGCCGCGATATCTCAAGAACTAATCGCTGGATTGTCTTCATATTTGGAACTATAGTGTATATACAGACACCGCATACACCTGTCAGATTTGGTGACCTTGACCCCATTTTCAAGGTCACAGCAGGCAAATCTGCTTTTGGAGTTGGAAAACGGTGTTGCCACAATATCTCAAGAACTAATCGCTGGATTGTCTTCATATTTGGTACTATGGTGTACAGGCGGGGGATATTTCGTCACTCTGTGACAAATACTTGTCTTTTCTGTATGATATGTTCATTTAAGAGACTAGATGTTAGTCTAGGTCATATCTAAATGTGTTTATTATAGAGGTTTTTTTTAATAAACATGTCAGAGATAATATGTGAAACATATTTTGCTTTTTCAGGTCAGGGGTTCAGGATACTTGCAAAGATTTTATTATCATTTAAAGATTTTGGCAGTTGAATAAATCTAGTGTTTGAAGAAGTAACTGTCTTTCGTACCGTTAAATTGGGCAGTACAAAAGGAGTTTTTCGCCTTCCATCTTGTCTAAGGTAAATAATTTACATATTCTTTAGTCGACAGGCGTGTTAGTGTGTTTTGTTGAGTGAGGGTATTTGTAACTTGGCCACAGGTCTGTTTGGGTCTCAGCCTGGCATAGTTCCAGTGTTGCATGTTCGGCCTCGTGTACCCATTTATTACGTACTTTGGTCTCATGGGACAAAGCCTTGGATCGTAATACGACAGATGTAAATAGTTGCCTCGATATCATATCACATTGCTTATGTTAAAACTGAAAGCTAAAACGTTGGTGCAAGGTGTGATCAGACTGATACTGTCGGTATTACAACTAATGAACACAAAGATGACCTTTTCTCCAGCGTGTGATAGTAACTGTACTCCCTTAACAAAGGTCACAGTAATTTCATATAACTTCAAACTAAATGGGCATTAAATTCTTTTTAATTCCGATAACTTAGATTTCAAACTTAGGATCCATGTTGAAGAATGTTACTTTGGCTTGTGCTTTGTTCAGGTGATCAAGGTGAGACAGGTGAGACAGGTGTGTTGTTTGAAGCTGAATCAGGCAGTTTAAACGAGGGGTGCTGAAAGTTAGCTTACGTAGGAACAGGGACATGTGTTTTGAAATAAAATGGATTATATTTCTAGGAGGGTCAGGGAAATTGTTCTTCCTTATTGTTAACATTGTCCTTGTGACAGTGGGATATTCTTCTATTTATGGCATGCCTAATCCCTATTTGTTTCGGCTGAGATGAGTTGTGAAAATCAAGCTGATATTCCTGATTGTTTGTTTAGCTGGGGAACGGTGAAAATAACTCTCCTGGAATCTTACTACAACTATAGTGTGGCATCAACTCACAATTTCTTACTATTAATGGAGATTATGTTAATGCTGTGTTGTGATACCAGACTTTATTTATATAGACTTGAGTGACTTGCAACATTGCCACTATATCACTAGCCTTGCTCCAAGGCTGTACTGAAAAAAAAGTCCATGGATGTGTGGTAATTCTATCCTAATAGGCAAGTCTAGATATGTGCACAGTACATCTAAGTACTCCAGTCTCTTATCAGGACAACTTGTCCTTATTATTTACATAATCTAGAAATTATGATTTAAACTAATAATTATTGCCTTAGAGACTTGAGCAAGTCTACTAGGTCACTACCTACCTGTAACAGGGCAGCTGTAGCAGCCAGATTGGACACACCCAGATCTGGATGGGGTCGTGTTCCGAGTTGTGGCGGGGCAGATAGAGAGCATCTTCCTGCCCGGAGACATGCTGGTGCCACAGTTTGATTGGCATGTCCATCACCCAGCTCCTGATGTCACTGCACTTGTACGCTGCCTCGCCTTCCGCGGACATTTAGTGGAAAGTTTTGCTTATTTCTTGAGTGTCCTGTTTGTATGTGGGTGGTTGTTGATATCAGTCTGTATGATTTGTGGGAACGAAACAACTTTGTATACCTATATCCATTGTTGCTTAGCAACAGAAGATAAGAGCAACATAATATTCTTGTATGGTGCAGACAGTGTCCGAAATAACTGCCTGCCCACCCGCCCGTGGCTGGTAAATTTTATGTTGGGCTGCATGAAATTTTCCTCCACCTGCCCGACTGTCTGGTAGATAATTTGGGACTACTTATGTATTCAGTTTTATTATAACTCCTTATAGAATCTCAGGGAATTGTTTGCATTATTTCGACTGAATCAAGATTTGTTTTGTCTCTAAGTTTTTGTGATTTTGGTGGCGATGGTGGAGGGGGTGGTGTGACGATGGTGGAGGGGGTGGGGTGGGGTGGTGACGATGGTGGAGGGGGTGGGGTGGGGTGGTGACGATGGTGGAGGGGGTGGGGTGGGGTGATGACGATGGTGGAGGGGGTGGGGTGGTGACGATGGTGAAGGGGGTGGGCAGGGGTGGTGACGATGGTTGAGGGGGTGGGGTATTGACGATGGTGGAGGGGGTGGGGTGGTGGAGGGGTGGGGATGTTGGCGCTGGTGGAGGGGGGTGGATTGGTGACGATGGTGGATTGGTGACGATGGTGGAGGGGTTTGGGTGGTGCAATGCTGGAGGGGGTGGGGTTGTGACGATGGTGGAGAGGGTGGGGTTGGCGATGGAGGTTGTTGGGCTGATGAGGAAGACATGTGCCTGTTGTCTAAAGAATGGATAGGTCAGCACAGGGAATGTGAAGCATGTAGAGATCATTAGTGCAGTCATTGTGGCAGTGTCTTGGAGGTCAGTTTGAGGAGTGGGTGGCTGGACAGAGGAGGGTGGTTCTGGTTTTTATCTGTAGTTATCAGTGCAATCTTTTCCTGAAACATTAATAACTGGCCACATTCATATCCTGGCCAGTGTGAATAACTCCGCTGTCCAAGTACCCTTGCCGGTGTATACAGAGCAATATCCCCTCCTTGAGCCTCCCTGGTTGGCTTCACTTTGATGTGGGTGGACACATATCATAATGAGGAAAAAGTATGGCTGCACAAAGATGGTTGGCGCCTTTGACCTTGAACAATATAAGATTTTCTATTACAGTATTAGGTTTTGACCAATTTTGTCTCTCAATATACACGTATACATGTTTGTCTGTGGGTGGGTTTGTTCTCCAGCATCACAGCTTGACCCAACATTCCACATTTATCATGTTGTTGTATCCGGCATGTCGGACAGTGTTTTGAATCCAAGATGGGGGGTTGTGTTTTCCTGTAGGAATGGTCAGCGTGGTCTTGTGAGTGTTACCTGTTGGGGGTAGGAGTGAGATTGATTAGAGAGCCCTGACCTCGAGATCACCTCCATGGCTGGTCCACCGCTCCCCCAGCTGGAGAAAACATGTGCATCATTAGGGGGCCATGTTGGTTGTTTTGGGAATGTCCTCTGTAGATTTCATTGTTGTCGTACATTGTTTGGACGGTTCAGGAAACTCACAAACAGATTAGATAGTTGTGCTTCACTGATTGAACGGAGTAATACAATATTTATTGGCAATATGAGATGTATGCTAATGTATATATAACAGTGTTTTGTCTCCACTAAATTGGGGAATCTGTCTGTCGGCTCTGTTAGGAACAGAATGGCCTTCCTGAAGTATGTGTCTGTGTTTCTTGTTTAACGCCACACTCAGCAGTATTCCAGCTACTTGGAAGAAGCCTGTCAATACTCCAATCTGGACCAGGCAATCCAGTGATCAACAACCAAGTCACTGAGCCTGACCACCCTACCTATGACGACCAACACAGGTTGCTGGGGGCCTATTCCAACCCAGAATCCCCGCTGGGGTCTTTATATGATGATATTTATTGAACATTCAACTGTAATAATAATAATTTAAACTCTTAGCAACCTTGACAGTGTTTGTAATTAAACCTGGAAGTCAGGGACACTCTGTCAAAGCCCTGTTGATGAGCATCTGTGTTTTCAGGGGTATCTGGAGAGGAATACCTAAAATCCTTAATTTGTAATTAAGATCAGCTTGTCGTGTCAAAGTATTTGTGAGATTAGGTTGAAATATGGTCAGCATTGACGCTAAATTTGGTATTGTTGACATTTTATTGAGTTATTTACATTTGGAATTACATGATTTCTACATATCAATAAATGCCTTCCCAAAGACGATGGTGCTATTTAGATGAAGGAGTGTTTGGCATCTGTAGAATGTATTGCCTATGTACAAGATCTTTGCAGCCTAAAGCCGAGCCCCAGGAAAAATCAGTATAAATTATACTGATGTTGTGTTGTGGGGCTTGGGCACTTAATTCATATACAATATATTCTGTTTATTTGCAATAACACTGTCTGGGTAAGGGTTGCCTAATCCCAACACTAGTCCCACCAAAAAGTCCTGAAGCCCACAACTATTGATCTTGTGGAATAAGAACTCGGATCTGCTCGCCAGGATTAATCCTCCAGCCTAAAATGCAACTCTTCTCAATAAGGGATTCTCTCCGCCCTGTTAGGATTTCACAGCCAGATTTGATTTAAGGGAGAGATTTGGCCCCTGCTGCTCACGGCGCGGGAGATGCTGATTGGCAGTGCCGGTACATTTGCATTCCAACGTCGTTGTTGCTGAGTCTTGTAGTGGAGTAGTGGTGTCCACCAACAGTGTTGTTGCTGTCACGTGTAGTGTGAAGTTATTGTGCTTGGTAATTGTGCATGGTTATTGTGCATGGTTATTCATTATTGTGAATGGTAATTTTTGCATGGCCGGTCTGGTAGCCTAGTGGTTAAGGGGTTCACTCGTCAGGCAGAAGACCCAGGTTCGATTCCCAACAATAACCATGTGTGAAGCCCATTTCTGGTGTTCCCTGTCATGATATTGCTGGAATATTGCTAAAAGCGATGTAAAAACCATACTCACTCACTTTTGCATGGTTATTGTGCTGAATCCTCAGGCAAGATTTATCAGACTGATTCTGATGCTCACACTATCAACCACTGGTTTGCCTCGTCCAGACTGGAGCTCCTTGCAGGGTTGAAGTAGTGCCGAGTCCCTTTCCCACAATCCTGTCACTTTATTGAGTGCAGGGTTATACATTGGTCTTCTAAACTGGGGGTCCAGAGGAATGCCAATTCAAGGGTCCTTACAGAAAATATGAGGGTCCTGTGAAGTAATTAAATGGTATAGAGTACTGTACTGTAAGATGCAATAATTACTTTACTTAAGGGACTCTGTATTTTGTGTCAAGAATGTGGTAGAACTTATTGTACGTCCCTCGGGATGCAATATATATTTTTTCTGCGTCCATTCTAAACATCTGTGCGTAATGGAGGCACATTTCGGCGTCTTGTAAAATCCTGGGGGTGTCCGGACCGCCTAATTATCAGGTTAATGTGCTTGCTTGTCAGACTGAAGGCCCGGATTGCAAGATTGTAAGAGTTGACGAAAATGGATCATCGTGCTGATTGATAATTGCTCATAATAGATAGAAACTAACAAGCTTAGTCCTACTCCTTATAATGATGACAATTAGCACAACCCTTAAAAATGGCAATCTTCTGCTAGTCTGTATGGTACCTTAGCTATTGGGCATTTAATTTAAGCAAAGACCACAGGACTAGTGCTAATTTATAACGCTGCTCATGGTGTCAACCACTGGTTGCCCGATTGGTTATCTACAAGCTGCCATCATCTGGCTGGAGTATTGCTCACTGTGGCGATCAACAACATTCGCTCGCTTGTATTCCATGTATTGTAAACGATCCACAAACTGTTGCTGCTCTCTGACCTTGGAAATGCAGCTATTGTTCCAGGTGTCGACCATATTGGCGGGCCGGCCGTGTGTCCCGTGTGTCGGTTCCCAGACATGTGTGGGGAATGTGCGGCACTATCAACACGGCATGCCTGGATGTAGACTCACAGGGTCCATACACATATACAGTTCCTGCAGCATCTGCGGACTTAGGGCGCCCGGTTACCTTTGTTTATTCTGATTGGATAAATTCTACAAATTCTGTAGTGTTATCATTTATTGTTGAGAGTTGGGAGGAAATGATGGCATGTTTCAGTCAAAGTATAAAAACTTCTCTTTATATGGCGACTAATGTAAGTTGAATTACGGATCAATCCAACTGGAACTGTTTATGCTAATTACCTGGACTGTTTCCCAGACGAGTGACAGTGTCTGGACCATGTAAGCTCCTCTTTGAATGAAAAATAATGTTTGAAAATGTAAATTATTGATATGGTTTTGTTTAAAAAACACCAAAATTATAGAAAATGTTATCTGAACCTCATGAATGATCTCAAATTAATGTTTTCATCACAGAAAGAAATATTAGCCATTGGAATATTTCTTCTAAGAACTCAATTTATTTGCAGATTAGACAAAATCTATAACAGATTTCATGTCATGGTACTCAATAAAACATGGATTCTCATCTTCATGACAGTCGGCTGGGTACGAGGTGAACAAGGAATATTTTGCTCAGGAATAAGTGATCTCTCCTGATTGTGGATAATATCAGTGTCTGGCACAGGTTTTCAGAGGCTTCAGAGTATAAGATCCTTTTTGGAAATGTTGCACTATAATTTGAGTATACTGACTTGTGTTCCGCCTGTGGCCTGAGTCACACAGTGTGTGGCCCAACATTACACATGGTCTGTGGGAAGGGATTTGTTGTGGGCTCATCTGCATAGAAGGTCAAGTCCTCATCAATAATTCAGTGAGAACTAAAGTTGTTCTATTTTGTGGTTGAATTTATATGGGATATATGCTGATGGGCAGTGCACCGCTTGACGTTGTCCGGGAGCTCAGCAAGTTATGTTACAGACGGGCAGAGAGTTCATAAGCAAGTTAATATGCCATTATTAACATTGACCAGAAAGGTTATTATTGGTTTCAGTTTTGTCAATCTTGTCGTTTTGTGTGATGCAGGATAGCCCAACAGGTCATGTGTTTGCTGGGCCCACAGAAGTTCAGTCTCCATCGGTTGCCTTTTAACTTCCGGCTTGGATTAGTCGGCAATAGCTCTTGTGACTAAAAGCAGAAACAAGTACATCAAAGTTACCAGTCTTTGTGATAATGTATAAGGTCAAGGGTCATGGTTGAGGTCTTGTCAGTGTCGATCGTGTGAATGTGGAGGTTTGGGTCAAGGTCGGGTAGAGGTTGAGGTTGGGGTTATGTCAGTGTCGATTGTGTAAATGTTGAGGTTTGGGTCAAGGTCGGGTAGAGGTTGAGGTCATGTCAGTGTCGATCGTGTGAATGTTGTGGTTTGTGTCAAGGTCGGGTAGAGGTTGAGGTTGAGGTTGAGGTTGAGGTTGAGGTCATGTCAGTGTCGATTGTGTGAATGTTGAGGTGTGGGTCATGGTCAGGTCAAGGTCGGGTTGTGGTCACAGTCTCACTCACTTGAAAGGAGAAGATGCTGTTTTGTATTGTAACCAGTGTAGAATGTATCCAGAACAGTTGGAGAACCTGACACAAAGTTCTTGTGGTAGCATTCCAACTATTAGCCATGGTGTAATTATCCTCACATTAGCAGGAAGCTGATGTTTTCCTATCTGTGAAGACATCAAAGCATCTGTGAACACTTGTGGCATGGTTGGCAAAATAAAGACTGTGAAATAACAAACATGGCTCTTATATCCTCCTTCTGCTGCTGGGGAAGTATGATTGGCTATTGATCGTTATCATTACTGGATCAGAGGGGTATACATAGTTTATCACGCTACCTGATGTATTTTTGATGAGCCAACATGCTTACTGATCAGAATCCAAATATTG